GACGTCTTCAACGCCGCCTTCGCCACCATTCAGACTGAGATAGAGAACGAGATGGAAGCAAGAGGCATGAGATGGTTACCTCAGGTGACGCAACCTGTGTTCCCCGCGACCGCCGAAGACCAGGAACTCTCAGCCACTGTTTCCTTCGTTGATGACCTAACCCCCAGTGCTGCTGACACCGACCCCCGAAGCCATATTAGCATGCTGGGGGAAGCTGTGGACACTGCTTTCATCACTTGTGCCTTGCATGGCCTCCGCCTCAATGCGACTAAAACTAAGATCATGGTGCGATTCAGGGGGGGTGGGTCCCAAGAGGCTTTCAGAAAGTTTCACGATAATGATGATGCTCAGATTCTTTCCCCACAGCACAAAATCGCCGTCGAGGCGGTCAGGGCTCACAAGTGTCTAGGGGTCATGCTCACCGACTCAGGGGGGAAGGACTGGAGAGAAGCGTCGCTGCTAAGGCGGCAGCCCGACCTGTCAAAGCCACCGTTGCGCCCCGAAAAGCCCTTGCCCTGGATGCCAAATTGCTGTATGCTGAAGCATTCGGCTCTAGTAGGTGTTTCTATGCCGCGGCCCTTTGGAAACCCATGCCCAATGCTGTCAGAGCGAGACTCCGCACTACCCATGAGTTCATTGACAGGTGTGTTTTGGGGCTCCCGTCTGCGAACTCCTCTGAGGTCCAGCATGCGTATCTTGAAGTTTTAGCAAGGGCCGAGCGCCTCCCCTGGGAAGTTGTTGTCCATTTCTCACGTTTACGGCTCCTAGCCAGGATGTTTCGCTCTGCCCCACGTTTCTTGCTGCGTTTACTTGGTGTGGCCCTGCGTTCCCCTTCCAGCTGGGCTCGTGCGCTCGCTGAGAGCCTAGATTGGCTCATGTTACAGTCGGGGCGCTGAAGAAGGAGCCCTTTTCGTTGGGAAGGGGCCCCGTGTTCCTTGATTGTTTCACAGCTTGCCTTGGGTGTTCCTTAGGTTTTCGATGGGGAATCGAAGTTTAACTTATGGGAAAAAGGGGCCTCGTTCCTTATTTAGGGTTCCTTAGGTCAACGCCCCGACTGTATTTACCGATCCCAAAAAGTGTGCCTGGAGGGGGGGCTCTCGACGTGTGGATCGAGGCAGTCCAGCTATCCCCCCCGCTTCAGATCTCTAGTCAAGAGCGCGCTCGCGCACGCGAGAGCCTGATGGCGAGATCAGCATCGACTACACCCGTGGGGGAAGCGCATGGAGCTCGCCATCGATGGCACGCCCATGCAGCATATCACCCACCCCACGGCACCAGGCCTCTTGTGCTACGGGTGCGGTCAGACCTTTGCCTCCGAGCGAGCACTTCGAAGCCACAGGGGCAAGCAGCACCCACAATTATTACCCCCATCCATGACGGCCACGGGTACGCTTTGCCAGATTTGCTGCTGGAATGTTCGTGCCAACGGGAGACTCTATAATCATCTTGCTCGGGCCCGTGCGTGCTTTCGGGGATGGTTGCTGCTGGGGCCAGGCCTTCCCAAGCCGAGATTCAGGAGGCTCGGGTTGAGCGCAATCGCGATCAGAATGCGAACCGTGCCCGAGGTTTGACTGACGATTTCGCCCACTGCCCCCCTCACCGTGTCTTCGGACCACCGAGAGGCCCAAAGGTGTTGGGCCACGAGTGCCAGGTGGACGAGCCTGCTGCCCCGCCCCCTCCTCCTCCTCCTCCTCCTCCTCCTCCTCCTCCTCTTCCTCCTCCTCCTCCGCAGCCGCCCCTCCCCGCCCCCTCGGCCGTCCTGCTCGAGGTCCCCGCTGACCTGGCCCAGCCGCACCTCCTCGCCGAGCCTGATGCTGATCGGCCAGGTCTCCTGCCGCACGCCGACGACAACGGCGCCAACGACGACGACGAAAGACAACAACGACGACGACGACGGCGGCAACGACGACGA